TGATATGATATATAATATATAGTAGGGTATAAATATAAGTACTTGACTATACAATATACTGGCAGTGTAAGAATACGTGGACTGGATGTGCAAAAGACAATATTATTCTATAAAATGGTCTGTAATATTAAAGTGGTTTAAATTAACACACGTAGTGTAGTGCAGGGTACATGGTGCAAAGATGACAGGTATGTTAGTGCAGTTCTGTGATGGTGGCTCTGACAGAGGCTGGAGCAATGTTATGCTTTTTCTGTTGTTTTCTTACATCTGAAGAAGTGGTCACAATTTACTTCAATTGTATTGGATTTGGCTGCAACGCTGTTTACCCCTGAGACTCCTAAAGTGTTTTGTGGATGATTTCATGTCAATACATATTGTACCACTGTGAACCAGTGTGTTAATGTGTTGTGGTAGAATACTGTTTGTCCAGAAAGGAAGTGTATGTGCTGGGACACACACTGACAGAACAGATGCACTTCTATTTTAATCAGTCCAGATGTCTACAAACAGATTTCACTCCTGCCGTTTGGATGTAACTGTGACTGGAGGTCAGTTCCAGTTTACATGCACATGTACTGTGGGTGAATGTTGGGATGTGAGCGCTGCCAGATGCTGGTGACCTACACTAAACACAGAAGGAGCTAATGTGCGGCTAACGTTCATTGCATCTCCCGTGCAGACACTTGTGATGTGAGTTGGACTGATGACGGAGAGTGCAGTGCTGTAGTGTTGATATGTAGTTACGCACGCACACACACGCAGCAGGTTTGATCAGTGATACAGGAGCTGAAGAGACTCTGGCTCCTGCTTCTTCTCAGGATGGAGACTGATGACCTTCCAGACACAGGACAGATGTCCACCCTCTGGCTCACTCCCTTGTCCCATCCTTGTGTGCTGGTTGTTTTTACACATTTTTTTAGGTTGTGCATCTTGTTTTGTATTTTGTGTGTGTGTGACGATACATCTCTGTGTTCTTAGAGGAATCCAGACATCTGCCAAAGAGCAAACTAATCCTCTACACTGCAGCTTCATTCAGTCTATCTGTAATCAGCTGAGGTCAGCATGTGATGATGTAACAGGAGACTCATCATCTTTCTTTCTACACTGTAAGAAGGCTTCCAAAGGGAGCCAAATTTATGGTTAACCTTAAATGATTCCCCAACACAAAACCATTTATATCATGTTAAAACACAGATGCCTTATTATTATTATCAATTCAATTCAATACAATTTTATTTGTATAGCACCAAATCATAACATACATTAAGGCACTTTACATAGAAGGTCAAGACCTTAAGATCGTATTAAATATAGAAACCCAACAGTTCCCACAATGAGCAGCACTTTGGTGACTGTGGAGGAAAAACTCCCTCATTAACAGAGAGAAACCTCTAGAACCAGACTCAATGTGGGCGTCATCTGCCTCGATTGGTTGGGGGGAGCAGAGAAAAATGTGGAGGAGAGGAGAGATGGGTGGAAAAGAGGGGAGAGAAGAGAGAGAGAGAGTGGGGCCACTTGAGCACCATCAGGTATCAGCTCTGACTAGTTAAAATGTAAACAATAACAGTGTAAAGAAGTTATTGATTATTAATGATAACAGTCACAATTCATATAATAAAGAAATACTAATAAGTATTGTTGTTAATAATAATAATAATAATAATAATAATAGTTGTTGTCCTGCAGTTCTGGAGTCAGTCACCTGCAATGAGAGAGAGGAAGAGAGAGAGGGACTATGGGAGAAAAAGAAACATAGTTATTGACATTAAAATAAATAAATGAGTGTGTGGGGGCAGAGAGACGTGCTCAAGTTGAGAGTTCGTCAGTGCATGATGGGAGTTCCCCCAGCAGTCTAGACCTACAGCAGCATAACTAAGTGATGGTTCAGGACTCACCTGATCCAGAACTAACTATAGGCTTTATCAAAAAGGAACGTTTTAACTTTAAATGTAGAGATGGTGTCTGCCTCCAGAACCCAGAGTGGGAGCTGGTTCCACAGGAGAGGAGCCTGGTAGCTGAATGCTCTACCTCCTGTTCTACTCTTACAGACTCTTGGAACCACAAGAGAGCCTGTGTTTTGAGAACGACGTGATCTATTGGGATAATACGGCGTTATGAGCTCTTTGATATATGAAGGGGTATTATGAGAAGTTTAAAAAAATGTTTTGGTTCAATATGAAACTGTGGCAGGACAAATTATACTATGGCGGGCTGCCACTGTCTAGACAATTAATGGGAAACACATTGCTCCGCTCGCTTGCCATATACGATGTAGAACCAAAAAACTTGCCACAGCTCAGATGCGCTGGTGTCACGATTGTCTGCTCAGGATGGCTTTTCTTGCTAGCGTCCTCCATTTTCATAGCAAAGCAGCATAGTATTATAAACCACTACACCTACACCTCTGGATGTCTGCCGCTGTCACAACACATTTCTAACTCTGAGATATACACACAGATTTCTACTTTGACTTTTGCTACTGATAATAATTTTCACTTTAACCGCTATGCTGATGACACACAGTTCTACATTCCGTCAGTCCTATATCAATCGAACACTGCAACTCTCTACAAGTGCCTCGCTGAAATAAAACACTGGATGGCAACGACTTTCTCCAACTGCAGATCTTCAAATTGTCTTTGGTCCCACCTCCAGCTCGGATGATATCACGGATGATATCACGGCAAACCTTGGTGAACATATCACCATTTACCGAGTCCTCAGCTAGAAAACTGGGTGTGGTCTTTGACCAAAAACCTGAGCTTTGAACCCCACATTAAGACGGTTGTGCAATCGTGTTTTTATCATTTCAGAACCACAGCCACGGTTAAATCTTTAATGTCACATACAGACCGGGAAAAAGTAATTCAAGCCCTTATTTCCTCTCGCCTCGACGACTGTAACTCCCTTTATAGTGGTCTTACCTAGAAATCAGTCCACCTTGTACACCATCCAGAAAGCTGCCAAATCCAAATCCTGTTTGAACATCCTTGCACTGGCTGCCTGTTTATTTTAGTATTGATTTTAAAGCCAAGCATATTTAAATACCTTTTATCTCCCTACGAGCCAGGACGCAGTCTGAGATCCTCTGGTAAAGTGTTGCTAGCCATTTCAAAATCAAGGCTACAAACCAAAGGAGACAGAGCGTGAGACAGTCACCGTGAAGAGATTAGACTAGCAGAATCGTTACCTGTTTCATTTCTGTAAAAAAGCTTTTATTGCATAATGTCTATGACTTTTTTTTATCTTTATTATTATTATATTCTTACTCTGTTTGATAAATTCCCTATTTAACATTAACCTCGTTGTTGAAGGCAGTGAACTATAATTAAATCGACCGCGTTTTTCATTTGCAATGATTAACTTGTCAATCGGTTGTTGATTAACCGTTAACTGAGATGTCTGGAAATGATTTCACTTCACTTCAGTGCTTTAATTTTAAGAATATGCTAGAACAAGGCTTAAAGCCAAATGACTGCCGCTGCTGTCAGCTCTTAATTCTCTTCTAGCATCCTTGCAGTGAGTAACTTTGCTCTGAGTTGATCTTTTGTGTCATCTTTGTGTTCATTTTAGGCATTTTGCAGCATCCAGATGGAACAGTCCTGAAGCAGCTTCAGCCTCCACCAAGAGGTCCACGAGAGATGCAGTTTTACAGCATGGTAATACCTATGCACTTACTTTATATGTCTTTATATAAATGTTGGATTCATCAATTATTTGAATAAACGGATTAAAATTTGATATAAAATAAATAATATCATGCTCAAAATGAATGATAGAAGTAGCATGTGCAGTTGAATCGTCGATGCATCTCTTTGTTGAGATGTGCTGACATAAGCTGACTGTTGTCACGAATCTGGTTAAACTTTTATAAACTAATCGCACATGTGAATCTTTGTCGGCACCAGAGTGTCAGTGTTTGCTTTAGGGCTTAGCTGTGCTGACCAACAGGAGTGAGTCATGGCATCATGTCTGCCTGTGTCTTCACCAGACAAACAAAAGTCAGTCACACAGTCACACAGGTGCCATCCTGCACAGGGCTGCACGTTTACCTGCAGTTTGAAGAAAACCATTATAACATTATTTCTATGTATTGTCTATGTATTGTCTGTTTTTTCCTCTCTGGTTTAATAACAGTCTATGTTTAACTGTTGAATCTTTTTTGCTAACATTATGTTGTGATACACTTGACAGTTTTGATGCTAATTCACTCTGGTTGTACAGTTTCCATCAGAAAAACAATACATTTGAAAAGATACTGCAGAGAAAACTAAGTAGCCACAGATACTTGAAATTCTACAATTTACTGGATTGGGATGAAGCATCCAAAAATGGAAAATAAAATAATGTTGCTGCCTTACACCAGATACACAGTATCTGCCTGTGTGTATAGTGTAGAATGATGATGACGTGGTATATGTGCTTCTCCCAGGTGTATGCAGAGGACTGCTGTGATCCGTGTCTCCTGGAGCTCCAGAACCACCTTCCCACGTACTACGGAACCTGGTCCTCTCCTGACAACCCCAGTGGTAAGAGACTGAAGCTAATGTGTCTCTGTCAGCCCATAAGATCAAAACGTTATTGATCCACACACCAGGGATTTCCGCTTGTTACAGCAGCAGACAAGTCAGAATGAGGGACACGAGAGAATAAAAACACAGAAAAAGCAAATTGTTATCAAAAAATGCAGGATATTTACATAATACCTTTCACTCCAGAAATAGTTAGTATAGAAATGTTATTGAGCAAAGTGCAGTGGCACAGGATGATTGCATCAGCATGTAAAACTTAATTTGTGCATAAGTATAAGGAGATATTGGG